CGTCTGTTCACGGCGTTTCCTGCCTCCAGTCCAGCTGCAGCCGATTCCACCATCCAGGACAACTAAGGGCTTCAGACCAGATGTAAATACATAATTTCCTGGAGAAATAAACTGAAGCAGCTGGTGTGAAATGGATTTATTTTGTTTAACCTATTGTATAAATCCTAAACAATCTGTTAAATGTTGACTCACTTAGAAATCAGATTCCAGTAAAATAGCTTTTTTTTATTTAAGTCACTGATGTAAACTGACAGCATATCATAACAGATGTAAATATCTAGCTACCGTCGATGTGATTTCTACAATAAAGCAAGAGTTTGTAGAAGAATATTTTAATCAGCAGGTAGGCAAAAACATTTCTACTTTTACACCAATATATTTAACCAAAGTATAAAGTAGTGAGTGGAACATCAGAAACATTCTGAATATTGAAAAATAATATATTTCTCTCATAATATAAAGAAATAAAAACATGTTTCTTACAGCTTCAAATATACACATTTCTTTGTAAATAACAGTTTTTTTCTTCCCCTTTTTTCTGACCCTGGTGCCTTCAGACTAATAAACAGAAAGAAAGGTCTCCACTCAGGCCAAAAAACACCTGCAGTTCATCTCTCAGTTTAACGCTGCTTTCCTATGTGTTCGTCTTCCACCCTAAGATGTTTCTGTGATGAACAAAAAGTGGTGGGATTGGAAAACACTGGATTAAAAGATACAAAACAATGACAACATTCACCCTTTTATATAAGAGATGACGATCTGTAGGGATCATCATCTCTGAGGCATTCCAGGACTGCTGGAAATCAGAGTTTTTTCCCCACAACCATTAAATCTTCATTACAATCCATCATGCAGGTAAACAGCTCTTGAGAAACGAATATTAAAACAGAAAAAATGATAATGTATTATTTATATGTGAGAAAGTTTAGTATATATACACACACACACACATACATATATATATATATATGTGTATATATATCTTTTTTTTTACTGTATTGCCAAAAGATTTCCCTCCCCTGCCTAGACTCACATATGAGTGACTTCTCATTCCTAATCAGTTATTTCGTTGGTGCGCCCTTTGCAACTAGAAGAAAAGTTGAAGAGTTGCAGCTGCAACTCTACTGGGAAGGCTTTGCACAAGGTGTAGGAGTATTGCTGGGTATTTTGAATGATTCTTCCAGAGTGCATTTGTGAGGTTTAAACTGATGTTGGACAAGGAGGCCAGGCTCTCAATCTCCGCTCTAATTCACCCCAGAGATGTTCTATGGGGTAGAGGTTAGGACTCTGTGAGGGCCAGTCAACTTCATTCACACCAGACTCTGCCATCCGTGTCTGTATGGACCTTGCTTTGTGCTCCTGCCTACAGACATGTTGGAAGGATGCAGTTACAAACTGTTCCCACACAGATGGGAGTAGGGGAGTGTCCAAAAGGTCTTACCCCTTGCTCACACTGGCTCCGGTGCGGTTACCGAGCCGACGGAGACCGCAACTCTCGCACACCCCTCTCCGCCCTTTTGACTACGGTGCGGTGCGGCTCCGGCAACAGGTCCGGAGATTTAACAGATGTTCACTTGAGTTCACGTAACTTCACGCAATAACACGGCCCAAATAAGGATATTTGCGAGAGCTTGTTGCGGAGGGCTCCGGCACGCCTCAAGGATAGCTTTCTTGCGGAATTTTCTGCAGCGCTGGAGTGTCTCGGTAACCGCAGCCGGACAGCTCAGCAGCCGGTGAGAGAGGTTCACGTCTTTTTAATGACTTGGAATCACTGCGGCGCCGCACCCACCGCACCGCAACGGTAAGACCGGAGTCGGTGTGAGCCGGGGGTTAGTCTGCTAATGGGCCAAGCCCTGAAAAACACCCCCACACCATAACCCCCCCGGCCTCAACCAAACTTTACACGTCGCTAAATGCAGTCAGACAAGAACCATTCTCGTGGCGACCATTGAACCCATCAGGTTTTCATATAGAGAAATGTGATTCTTGACTCCAGCTAATCAGGAGGCAGCATGAAGTTAGGAGGTATGTACGGATTGACTGCAGAAAGATGCCAACCCCTTCGCACTATAAGCTTCAGCATCCACTGGCCCCGCTCCGATCGGTTTACACGGCCAACCAACATTTTCTGGTGACACAGCTGACTGTGGAAATTTTAGGACTGGATTGGTTACACATCTAGTCCGGTGATAGAGCCACAGGTGGCCCCCTATCACAGATCATTGAATTCACTGAGCTGATCATGATCTTGGCACTGATGACTGAATTATTGGTTTACTTCATCCACCTGCTTAGCTCCGCCCAATTTTCATTATCACTCATCAGATCCACATGTTCCAGTTTCTATTTAAACAGTTTGGTCCCAGCCATCAGTGCCAGATTATTTGAGCCGTAGGTGAGTTCTCTAGCATACCCAGTGTGTTTCTGATTACCTGATCCTGACTAGTTTCTGCTCCTGGACTTGTGAGTTTGTCTACACACGTTCTGATCCGTTTGCCTGACCTGTCTAGTGACTCCCATTGGATTCTTCCTGCTAGCGACCTTGGATTTTCTTTCGGTACCTCTTCTGATCTCTAATCTTCTGGCCTAGACTTGTGCTTACTTATCAAAACCAGCTTTGGATTCTCCTTCCAGATACTTCTGCTCTTCCATCATCATCCTGCTCCTTCCTCTGGGCTTGGACTTAACTTTACAACCAGGTTAGTGACTCGCATGTTGGTTATTGTTCCCCTTCAGAGTTACATGGTCACTAACCTGTGTTTCTTCCTCTACAGAGTTTCCAGCCTTCTAGTCCTAGCCTATGAGAAGCAGAGCAATTAATAAACACTGTTTATAAATCAACTCTGTCTGTGTGAATTCTAGGGTCCAACATCCGGAGCCCTGACAGACCCATTGTTTCCCCAATGATTGTACCAACAATCTGCAGACCAAGGAGTGGATTTTATACCCCTGTGGCAATGGAAGTGATTGGGACCCCTTAATGCAATAAACTAGATGGGGGAGCAAATACTGTCTAATATACATATATATCTATATATAAATAAATTCTTAATTGATTGATTTTTCTTATAATAAAAAATGCAAGACAAAAGTTTCTAAAGGTTATACTGTTTCACTGAGTCTGAGCTGTTAGGTTAGACAACATGACAGAATAGAAATGTTCTACTAATTCAGAACTCACTGATGTATTTGATGTTTACTATATGGACAGGGAGGAACATAAATCCATAGAGTACAGGGAGAGATACACTTCAAGCCAAACTATTAAGTAAAACCTCAACCAGATGCTTTTTGCCTTTTTAAAAGCTACAGATCTGTGACAGAGAGCCTCCTGGTGTATTTCTGCCATGTGGTTCTCCAGCTGCTCTGAGAAGAACAGGTATAAACTGCAAAAATGTTCTAGAAATAAGAAAAAAATTCTTAGATTAAGTGCATTTACCCTTAATTTAAGTATATAAATAAAATTATATGCCAATGGTATGAGTATTTTTAGTCTTGAAAAAAGATAATCAGATTATATTCAATTGAAATAAGACAATGCAATTGTTTCTTCTTATTTTAAATGTAAATTGTCTTGTTCCATTGGCAAAGTGTCTCACTCACCTCCAAAATGCACCTATTTTAAGATAAAAATTACTTATTTAGATTTACATTTTCTTGTAGTGCAGAACCTTGAGCTGACATACGGATGATGGAAAGAGCAACTCGGTCCTCTTATTTACACCCTCTTTGTAAACCTCCTGTTCTCTCCGCTCACATTTAGAAGACGGTTCAGGACTAAAAAAAGAAATCAAATCCAACAGATGAAAACGAACGGTTTTAACCCAGAGCAGTTGATCGATCACCTGAAGTTTGGCCAGAGGGTAGGAAATGTCCTGACTGCTGCCAACCTTTTCTTCTCTGTATTACTTGTTTGTGATACAAATACCGTCAAACAAGAGCTGCTGAACTGTTCCTCACTATGTGAAAAAAATATATATATATATTTTGTCTGTTTAACCTTGAACTGAGTAATGAGAACAAGCCTGCAGAGAGATGAGAGAAGAAACATGAAAACGTTTTAAAAAATCTCACTGTGGAAAATAAGAGATCTTAGAAAAACACATAACAGATATGATACATACAGAGAAAATCAGAGTAATTTACATACAATAAATATACTGAAAATACACACTTATATACAGCAAGATACATTTCTTGTACCATTTCCCCTCTTTTATCCTTTATTCCACATTTCTTATTCACAAATGTATTGTTTTATGGTTGACATTTGCCGGTTAGTTTAGGGGAGTCGGTCTCTGGCCTGTCTTTGAACAACAGTCCGGGTCAACAGAACACAGAAAGGGCCAGAAAAACCCGAACAGAACCAATAAATGTAAATCTACACTGGAAAAACAATCTAGATATAAGTAAAAATGTCTCAAATTAAATGTATTTACCCTTAATTTGAGTAGGTAAAATGGATAGTTTGCCAATGGCATGAGTATTTTTTACTCTTAAAATAAGATAATTAGATAATATGCACTTGAGGTAAGACAATGCAATTGTGTTTTCTTATTTTAAATGTAAATTTTCTTGTTCCATTGGCAAAATGTGACTTTTATCTCCTCAATCCTAGAACAAATGCACTTTTTTTTAAAGAAATAATGACTTATTTAGATTTAGATTTTTTCCAGTGTAAAGATCCACCCTAAGATGTTTGGACTGTGAGGCACTAAAAGTACTGCATAACTTTCCTTGTTTTTACCACCAGACACCCCCTTTAGTTCAGTAGATCTGAATACTCTACTGTTTCTACACTTTGCACTGCAAAATTGAAATAAAAATTAGTAAAGGTTTCCTAAAATAGGTGTTTTAACCTGTAATTGGAGCTTAATAAGATAATCTGCTAGTAGAATGAGCATTTTTGCCCTTAAGATAAGATAGACACTATGAACATTAAATAAAATAATGGAGGTTTTCTCTTATTTTAAAAGTAAATATCTGATCTTATCTTCAAATCAAGAGAAAATACAATTACTTTATTTTAGATTTCAATTTTTTGCAGTGTGGGACTTTTTTCGACCGGTGGGTCAAACAGAACAAACAAATTACCAAAGTTGTAATCAATTAAACTTCTTTCTTTAACTTCACTGAGAGAAACATTCAATCTAAAAACCTTAAAACAACCAGATTAGTTCCAATATCAAATATTTGCAGTAATAGTAATAATAAAGGATTCTCACTGACCTACTTATGATGATGAGAAATAAACAAATAAATAATTAATGTCAAACCTGCACAAATCTTGTGTTTGACACAGCCTAAATTAATCTTTGAATAAAAGTCCATTTAAAATTTGAAAAGAGAAAATATAAATCAGGAGCTTAAACCTCAGGATAAAACATGAAATAGCTCAGTTAAGACAGATCATTTCCATTAGCTTCAGAATAAACGGAAAACTGGTGGAAAAAACACTGAAAGAAAAAAAAATGGTGAGCTCTTCAGTTCACCAGGGAACTTTATTCTGGTGTCATTGTGTGAGCTGATGGGGCTCTATTCCTGTTAAAGCAGTCCCAGGTTCTAAGAAGTAAAACCGTCCTGAATAAAACCAGAAAAGTCTGTTTGCAGATGACATGGCACAGCTGGAAACAATGAAGTCTTTGGCCACATTCATACGTATGATCCTCTGGAAGGAACCCGTCCTCACCGCGGATTACGCTGCAGAGAAGTTTGATCTAATGGAGTCTTCTCGTAACTGATGGTGCTTCACGGATTCGGGTTCATCGCCACGTGTGCGCCGCTGAATGGTTATCCTGTAGTTTTTTCTGCAGGACGACAGACGGATCATTTGATTATTACTTCTGTTTCTGGGACGTTTCATCAATCAGGTGTTAAAAAAACAAAAAAAAAAAGGTATAAAAGCTGCAATGACTGAAAGCTGAACTCAGCAAATCAAAATAAACTCCAAATAAACTGCATGTGCAAAAATAAATAAATAAATAATGTGAAACTGATCAGATGTTAACTGTCTCAATCCTATTTTAATGAGTCAGAAGTAAAAGAAAGATTCATTTCTAAGCTATAGAGCAGGAGGTGATAATAATAATTGAACTTTATTGATCTCACATTGGAGAAATTTACCTCTGCATTTTAACCCATCCCCTTGGGGAGCAGTGGGCTGCCATCGTGCGGCGCCCGGGGAGCAATCGGGGGTTAAAGGAATAGTACACCCAAAACATGATTAGCCTTCATTTTCTACTCACCCCCATGCTGAAAAACACTCTGGAGTACTTTTTTGATATCTCAAATGCATCTGGAGATCTGGGAGGCTTCTTGCTGTCTGCTGACATTCAAATAATGGAGGTCTATGGTGACCGAGACAGAAAGGTCCATAAAAGTCCACAAAAAATGTGTCAATATTCCTCCATACTGCTCGTCCAATGTATTCCAAGTGTCCTGAGTGGGTAGCATCCAGAATTTACTCGAAACGAAGTCATTTAGAATGTTTTTAGAGCACAAACAGTAGTGTATAGGATTTCCTGAAAGAGCGCACCTGCGAGTTCACGAGTCTACGGAAACCGCGGCAGACCAAACCAGATGAAAGTGCGCATTCAGCGTCTGCTCTGCCGATAATGCAAGCGTAGAAGAAGAAATGTGCTGTTTACCTGTGCAAAGAAAGAAACAACGAAATAAAAATGTCTGAGGACTTCAGTGTTGAGGAAGAGCATGAGTTCTTTACTGAGCTGAATGCGCACTTTCATCTGCTTTGGTCTGCCGCGGTTTCCGTAGCGTCGTGAACGCGCAAGCGCGCGCTTTTAGGAAATCCTATACACTACTGTTTATGCTCTAAAAACATTCTAAATGACTTCGTTTCGAGTAAATTATGGACGCTACCCACTCAGGACACTTGGAATACATTGGACGAGCAGTATGGAGGAATATTGACACGTTTTTTGTGGACTTTTATGGACCTTTCTGCCTCGGGCGCCATAGACCTCCATTATTTGAATGTCAGCAGACAGCAAGAAGCCTCCCAGATCTCCAGATGCATTTGAGATATCAAAAAAGTACTCCAGAGTGTTGTTCAGCATGGGGGTGAGTAGAAAATGAAGGCTAATCATGTTTTGGGTGTACTATTCCTTTAAGGGTCTTTGCTCAGAGAGCCAGAGTGGCAGTCTGTGGGAGTGGGGCTCAAGCTCAGAACCTCAGGATTCCAACCTCTATGCCCTAAACACTAGGCCTCCACTCCCAATAACGATTATAGCTATCAGAAAAATTATAACAATGATAATAAGGATAAATATCATCTAAAGGAGAAATTACAGAATTATTTCAAAGTGATACAAAAAAAAGTAAAAAAAATAGATCTGTTATGTCTTACAATTGTGTTAAAGTAACTAAATATGTTTAAGTAGAAGGCAAAAAGGGATGCATAACTTGTTTCAATGCAGCTGTCATCATTATAGGATCTGCGTATTTATGAAAAAACATTGCATTGCATTGTTATTACATTAATTTTGCCTACTTAAATAAATTTATACCTGGTTAGTAGATCAGATTTGTATGTTTTTGTAACAATCAACCCGTTTAGAGATCAGACTCAAAGCACTTAAAGCTGTCAGCTTTTCCAAAATAAGAAACACAGCTTGGCGTGTCACTCGGTTGCTTTGAAATTTACTACAGATCATTTATTTAACTCGACATCTTCTACTGTAGGAAAATTAATAGTGGAAGACGAATCTACTGAGATGTCGGAGATCCAAACATCAAAGCTTCAGGCTGCGTGTTAAAACAAAACAAACCTGATGGGCAACACCACGCATCATCACCTCATTACGCCACTTTTCGTCTTTCAACACAGGTAGGACTGGTGCACTTTGTTGACATAATTGACTATGATTATCTCCTAACATCAACATTTTTTACATTTAAATGTTACGTTAGAAAAACAATTAGCCAAAGTTACCCCTTTCCTCTATAAAGATGTGTGCGTCATGCACTGACTCGTCTCTCTGTATTTGTTGTTTTCTGCTTTTTGAACACAAACCAATAATTCTTCATCCCTTTAAATGAGATTATCTAAATGAATCATATTTAAATCAGTAAATAAGTTCTACATGATAGAATTAGATGAAAAAGTCCCAAGTCATCTTAAACATCCAATCTCTGTTATCATGCATTTTATTAGGGCAACATTCAAAATGCATTAAGTTAAGGAATTACGCAAGAGGGATAAAAAAGTACTCAAATATCGCTGCTTTGGGTTCAAAGGGAACAGACCCCAGATAATGAGTCTCCAGTCAGGCTACTGAGAAAATGTAAAACAAATAAACAAAAAAAAAAAAAAACTAAACCTTATTTTCAACAGTATTTCATTAAAAAGTTGCTTCTGGCAAAAACTTCTGCTTTGAAAAAAAAAAAAACTATTTTAAATCAAATCAAATCTGTTTATTTATATAGCTCCGTTCCCATTCTATAACTCCTGCACTGAGTGAATTTTATTAAATTATCCAGACAGATTGGTTTAAAGTAAACATCACTGATTGTATCTCATCATCGACTTTATAATACAATTTATTTATCAGGCCCCTTTCAGGACACTAAAGCAGTCAGATGTCATTAAACAAAGAAGAACAGAAAAATGTTAGCAAAGTGGTAAGACGTTTAGTCATAGAGGATGTTAGTTTAAAATTATCGTTCTTGAGGTAAGATTTGAACAAAGTAACAGAGTTTTTATGTCAGGAGGGTGAAGGTTCCAGGGGCTGAAGGCTCTGTGTCCAATGGAAGACAGCATTCATGAGATATGTGTCAGGAATCCAGTTTGTGTGGTCTGTTTTTGTGTTTCCTTTCCTCCTCCACCAGGTGGTGCCCTGTTCTCATTGGGTCTCCCTGCACACCTGCAGCTCATTGCCTCATTATCTGTGGAGTGTTCTTAAGCTGCTGACTGCCACTACCTCGACGCCAGAGTGTTTGCCAATACAGGGTACTCTAGCCATGCTTAGTTTAGCAGAGTCGAACCTGAGTTTTTGTTTGCCAGTTTTGGATGTACTAGCCAAGCTGAGTTTCGCTGGTTCAAACTGAGTTTTTTTCAACCTGAGTCTTAACTTTGTGTTTTGTCTTTGCCTCTCGACAGGAAGTCATCCTGCAAACTGGATTTGTTCGGACCTCCTATCTCAGGAAGGATCAACTGAGCTTCTAACTGAGCTGGGGTTCCAAACAGGAAGTTTGGGTCCACTTTCCCCAAGAGGTCGTTTGAGCTTCACACCGAGCAAAGGTTTTATCTGCACCACAGCCCGTTCAAGTACCACAGGAAATCAGAGTGGCAGTCAACTTCTCCGTTCACTCCAAACAGGAAGTTTGGGTCAACTTTCCCCAAGAGGTCGTTTGAGCTTCACACCGAGCAAAGGTTTTATCTGCACCACAGCCCGTTCAAGTACCGCAGGAAATCAGAGTGGCAGTCAGCTTCTCCGTTCACTCCAAACAGGAAGTTTGGGTCCACTTTCCCCAAGAGGTCATTTGAGCTTCACACCGAGCAAAGGTTTCATCTGCACCACAGCCCGTTCAAGTACCGCAGGAAATCTGAGTGGCAGTCAGCTTCTCCGTTCACCTAGGAACAACCGCAGTCTGAGTAAACCCCAGTCCGCCCAACACCAAACAAGACAATCACTGGAATCTTCCCACACAGACTGGATTCTATAAAGGACACCTTTTCCTGGAGAAGTGAGTGTGCAACCTATTCCTCCAATTCAAGCCTAAGAATCTAATTTCCCACTGAGCCTGAACTAACCACAGTGTCTTCCACTCACCTTCCAGTTCCGGTTTGACAGTGTTCTGAGCAGCACTGGATTCATCACCATATTCTAATAAACCTTTTAAACTTTTCTGTGGTCTCTCTGTTTGGTCTTCTGCATTTTGGGGTCAGACCTTTAATTAAATCATGACAATATGAGGGAGCAAGGTGGTGGATGGCCTCAAAGCTAAGGAGTAGTAAAGCCAGAACTGAACCACGCTGAGCCCTACTGATGAACTAGTACCAATTTAGCGTGGTTTGGTTGTGCCTGCTGGAGGTTTCTTCCAGTAAAAAGGGAGTTTCACTCTCCGCTGTCGCTCCGTGCATGCTCGGTGCGATGGGGTTGGTGAAGATTCAATGAGAAAATTAAGCAAAAATGGTTGCTGCAAGCTCATGCACGTCGATAAGTGGATGCAATAAACTGGTTTTCCTTGACAGAAACTTTAAACCAATCTGATCGTTTTGTCTCTGTAAAGCGCCTTGAGATGACATGTGATTTGAATTGGCACTATAGAAATAAAGTGAATTGAGTTGCTGGGTTAGTCTTAAACAAGTCTTTCAAATAAAACATTTATGTGAACTAACTGACTGTATCATGAACTGATTTGTTACTTCTATCATTAATTTAAAACAGCGCGAGTCAGTCAGGAGGAACTTTGGCTCTTAGTGACTCAGATAAAGGCTTATGTTACTCCAAACTAAGGGCTAAAGTTAGCTTATAATACATCCAAGCTAACAGCTTTGCCTAGGTTTGCCAAAATAACATTTGGACACAGAGAAATACCACAGAGATTTGATGTAATTAACAGAAATGCTGCAGCTTCACCCAGTCAGGTACTGTGAATAAGTCGGTGTACTAGGCTGTGATGGTGATGGTCAACTGACCGACAGACAGAGCATCATTATCACAGCAGAGTACACGACTCACTGATTCACACACCACCAGAATGGGTGAACCAACTGAGCAGCATAGGGGACGACACCCGAGTTCTTAACTTGGTTTTCCAGTTTCCACAGGGATCAGTGCTGGGGCCAATTCTCTTTATTATATATATGCTACCAATTGGTAGAATTATTACGTTATGCTGATGATACCCAGCTATAACTGTCTATAAATCCAGATGAGGCCATCACATAGACTACAGGCATGTTTGAAGACATAAAAACCTGGATGACTCTTAACGGTTTGCTTCTGAATGCAGACAAAAAAGAATTTATAATCTTTGGACCAGAGTCATTGAAAAAGAAGCGATTTATCAGTCACTTCATGTAGATGGCATTAAACTGAGCTCAGATACTAAAGTAAAAAATCTTGGTGTTATTTTGGATCAGAAGGTTTTTTTTCCCTGTTAAAAGGGAGTTTTCCTCTCTACTGTTGCCACATGCATGCTCGGTGTGAGGGATTGCTGTAGAGTCGACAACAAAATGCAAGCAAATGTCGTCGCCTCAGGCTTATCCAGGAGAAGCAGGTCAATGACTAGATGCAATCAACTGTTTTTTTCTAACCATCTGAGAGTATTGTCTCTGTAAAGAGCCTTGAGATGATATGTGTTGTGAATTGGAGCTCTATAAGACTGGGGTAGGAGGGAGGGTGGCGAGGATTTGGAGGACTAGAAGAGCCGAGTGTCATCTGCATACCCGAAACAGAAGGCTGAACTTTGGAGAGATGTGGCCAAGGGGGCAGGAGCTAAAACATTAAAAGTAAAGGGTCAAGAACGGAACCTTGGTGGGACAGCAGACAAAAGAACAGTTGGCCTGAAAGAAAATAACTGAGTTAACTGGGAGTGACCAGAGAGATTTGATGCAAAAGAGTTTAGGGGGAAATCAGAGAAATCAAAAGAAGCCAGCTTAGATTGAGGATGGTTAACAGGCCAGAGTTAGCTGCCATCAGGAGGCCATTTACAGTATTATACTCAGGGCTGTTTCATGGTGCTGTGGTGAGAGCAGAAGCTGGTTAATGAGGATTGGTAATAGAGGTGGGAATCAACTAGGGCTGCAACTGTCTTTTCCTACATTTTCAACAGGAAGAATGAGATGAAGGCTACAGAAACTGTTGCAGAACTCCTCCTGGATGAGCTTTTACTGGCAGTGAACAGTCGCTTGCTTTAGCTGAGTTTCCATTAACCTCTTTTGTGAGAATATTTATGTATTGCAACAGAAACGGTTGATCGAAAAACCCACTTTACAACATAATTAAGCAACATGTTGAATTATTCCTGGATCCCTATAAGCCTGCCCTGTGCTGTTTGCTGCAAACCAACCTGCATTTAACTCGATATGGTGTAAAATCAGCTCTGTTGCACTGACATTTTTAGGTACTTACACCTTCATAACAGGTAAAACCTCTGATAACTAAAGGAAAATATAAATATTTGTTGTTAAAATAGGGTATATAATATTGGAACAAAAACAACTGTGTCCCGATCTAACCAAAGGTAAGCTGTGTTACATTTCCTCAATGAATAACATCAAACTAATGCATCTGTTAACACTTCAAACCTGCTCTTAATAAAACAAAATTTACATTCCTGTAATAAATTTATATTATGAAATAATCCATTAAAACGAGGAGAAAATCAGAGAGGAGGGGTTGTAAGAGCAGAGCTTGACAGTTTTGTTTGAATGTAAATATGCTGCGTGCTAGATACAGAAAACCCAATTATTAGTAGAAAAATAAGATTAAATAACAAAAAAAGCAAATGATATGCAGGAAAAGAAAGATTCAGAGGTGAGGAATCATTTGCACCTGAAGAAGTAGAACGCTATCAGCATCACCGCTCCAAGAACAGCTCCAACCGTGACTCCGGTTAAGGCTGATACTCCCAGTCCACCTGACGAAGTGATAAGTCATTTAAAAAAGTTAAAACACCAACAAAGAAAGCTGAATATTCCCGATTCCTTGAATATAAATAAATATATATATTTACATGAAGGATTTTCCACTTCTTTTTCTTTTTCTGGCACCTCCTGTCTTCTCTTCAGGGTGAAATGATCACTCCTGAAGGCAGGCAACAACTGAAAGCTTTTATTCTTCCCAAAGTAGTTGGCTACCACCTGTCAATCACAAATCTGCATTACTTCCAAAAACTTAACCAATGTTTCATCTCTAAGGACGGATTCTGTTTCATAAGGAGTCTGTTGATTACTGCTCACCTCATAGCTTCCCGTTTCAACGTTGGTCATGGCCATCAGAGAGAAATCCCTGACTCTGTCGCCGTTTGCATCTATGAATACCTGGCCAGCAATTCCTGTTCACCATCACAGAAAGGAGAACATCATGTACCGTACCGTAAAAAGGAAGTCAGCGCCCAAGTTTACGCAGAACTGGTCTGTCCTTTACTAGATTATTGTATAATAACACACCAAAAATCTAATGATAACAGTATCCATATAACTGGCTCTGATTTAAGCCAGTTTTGTAGTTGCCATGAATCCGGATGACTGAGAACTTTTACAGGCATGACGACTATAGCCTTGTTTAACTGTTTCCTAGTATATAAGTTAAGTAACTTTCACAGTCGTGTTCATACAAAATGTATAAAAAACTGTCAAAGCAAGGCAAGCAAGTACAGAATTAGCAGCACACTTTATGCCTCAAGGCCTAAACACACTGGTTGGGAATGACTTTTAAATCTCTGATATGATTGTTTTCCATGTCATACTGACTGTGTATAGAGAGGCTCTGACCAGGCAGGGTGAGCAGATCTGCGCAGATTTTTTTTTCACTTCACATTTCTGTTCTATACACAAATTAAAACAATTTCCCACATTGGACTTGGACAGATCATGCAATGTTATTGAAAAATGAATAAAATAAATACATAAAAAAAACACCAATGCGGCTATAAAGCAAAGCCCTAATTAATGAATCTGTGCAGCATCTCAAACTAGAACCGATAATGAATGTTTATATATTAAAAAGACAATGAGATTTACATCTATAGAAAAGAAAGGCAGCAATAAACGCAGTGGGACGGTTTCTATGCTGACTGAGGCAGAGAGGTGATTCTCAGAGAGAGATCTGGAAAGTTTATTCAAGTTGTTAATTCTTTTTTTAAATAAAGAGGTGAGAGAGATATACTGTGCTCACCTGCTCTGTCTGACCCTGGGGAAAGTTTTCTATGTTAATGTTTCATTTATCGTTTTTGCTCCAATCTGTCCTGCTTACTATAAACACGATGTGTGACTCCAAACTGACTCTTTCCCCGTGAGATTAACATTTTATTTTGTGTTTTTCCTTAAAGCGGATGTGTTTTACTTTGTAACGGCGTCTCTCTTCCTGTCAGACCCATGAAATTGGTGCTGAGGCTCTGCGTAGTTTGACTAAAATAGACCTGTGTTTCTGTGTTTGTCTCCCTTCATCCACCAGGAGGCGCCTGGTTCTGGTCCGCCTCCTCACACACCTGCTGATTGTTTCCTCGTTAAACGGAGCGTTCTTAAGCTGCTGATTGCCACTACCTCGACGCCAGAGTGTTTGCCAGTTTAGGGTACTCTAGCCAAGCTGAGTTTTGCTGAGCTAAACTGAGTTTTTGTCAACCTGAGTTTAACTTTGTTTTTGTCTTTGCCTCTCGGCAGGAAGTCATCCTGCAAACTGGATTTTTCGGACCTTCTCTCCCTGGAAGGATCAACTGAGCTTCAAACGGAGCTGGGGTTCAAACAGGAGGTTTGGATCCACTTTCCCCAAGAGATCGTTTGAGCTTCTCACTGAGAAAGGGATTATTCTCCACTACGACCCGTTGAAGTACCGCAGGAAATCTGCGTGGCAGTCAGTTTCTCCGTTCACTAACTAACAACCCCATTCTGGGTAACCCTGTCCGCCCTCCACCGAATCAGACAAACACTGAACTACAGCACAGAGACAGGAGTCAAGGATTCAAACAACTTCTCTGGAAACGTGAGTCGGCAACCAAATCCTCTTCTCCAAGTTCACGAGTCAAATTCCCCACTGAGCCTGAACTAACCGCTGTGTCTTCCCGTCACTTTACAGTTCCGGTTGAGCAGTGTTCAGAGCAACACTTCTCCCCGTGTTTAACTTCTTCAATAAAACCAGTTAAACCTTTTCCCTGGTCTCTCTGTTCGGTTTTCTGCATTTGGGTCTGAACTTTGTAACATCATGACAACCTGGGCTCTATCTCAGTCGGAGCTATGCTGCCCTCTGCAGGAAACTATCCCTAAAGAGCACTAAACGCCACAACCTCGTCCGACACGATTTTCTGTCGGATCGGTACACAAAATCGAATCCTGTGAGTTCTGGCCTTTGCAGTTTTCTAATGGATCATGGGGAGATTGCTGCTCACCAGATCTGAGGCTGATAAGAACATATTTATGACAACCTTATTTATTTTGTATTTGATTTTATTGATGAGAGCCATGTGTTTTACCTTCAATGGTTCTGTTCCACATGCGTGACGTTATCTCAGTGCCGTTCTTCTTTGTGCAACCACTCTTCATGCACTCATCTAATGCACTGGCATAAAGCACCAAAGCATCATGGAATCCTTCCACAAACATGTTGACCTGGGGGAAAACAAAATATGCTAAATCAAACAGGAAGTGATCAGACTAGATGAGTTCAAGACATTTTTTACTTATTTATTTTCTGTATATTGACATAGATGATAAAAAACAGAAGAAATGCAGTTAGTGGATCGACTGTATTTGAGTTCTGAGTTGATATCCGTTATCTTATTATGTTAAATTAAATGTTAAAGGCCTTTACTTCTATTCTTTAATAGACTCCAAAGCGTGCAGTGACAATGAAGGCTCCTGATTCTTGATCCGATTGGTTTTCTGTATCAAAATGCTAAAATGTTTTTCCATGTTATAGAGATACGTACATTTCCACAATCATCACAGCCATACAGGCCTAGTTCCTCTGTGGACCTTTGCATTTCCATGGAGAAGTTCTCATACTCTGGCTTGACTGTCCTGAGAAGAGTCACTGTGTTCAGGGAGGCGTAGGCCTGCCGCGCCTCGTCGTCAAACTCATCGCCCCTCCTCCATGAACCGTTTCCTGTAACGTTTTAAATATGTGATCATTGTTAATGTTTTTATTTAATGAGATACAGACATATTATTCACCATAAACAACATTTATTGTCTGTCTGTGTTTTTCACAGGGTTACATGGTGTGTTTCTGTCATAAAGACTTCAAACTGTGGCAGAAGACCAAGACATCTACATCATCAGTGTGATTTCTGCACTTACAGTATATATATATATATATATATATATATATATATATATATATATATATATATATATATATATATATATATATATATATATATATATATATATATATATATATCAAATTTATCTGGAAATGGTCATTTAATTAGTCTTTTTTACATTATTTAACTAAGACAAAAACAATTGATATTAGTCAATTACTAAAAACATTAATCTTTATTCTAGCATTCTTTAAAATCCTTCCAGAACACAAACAAATAAAAAAAAAAAACATCAAAACAACAGATAGATAAATAAAAACATTGGATTTAAATGTAATAAACTTGACCAAACTAAACAAGATTATGCTCGGATAAAAAAGATTACAGCTAAAATGAAGAATATTTGAGTTTTTAAGAGACAATAGAATCGGAAGGACAGCATCATCTAGAGCAGGTTTAGAGAAATATTCTAATTAATACAGAACATGAACAAATTCAATATATTCTTTTATCCACTTTTGTTTCTAAATGTGTGTTTAAGAAAAATAAACTGTCTGAATAAGTGTTTCCTCCTGCTCTTTTAATGGTTGCCAGTAGCAACAGTAGTTTAAGGTTAAGGCTTCAGAACTAAAAATATTTTCTGTCTTTGAGGAGATCTCAGGCTGTGGAGATGTTCACTGACTGTTTTCTCAGGGTGTTTGATTTTGTCATGTCATCAAACCGGCCCGACAAATGAACTGTTAGAAAACTCAGAATAAAAGCTTTTCAGTTTTCATTTTCTGAATTAGGTTTAATTCCCGCCTCATCCTTTTATCTAGAACAGCGTCACCAGGCTGACGGCCACTTCAAAGGTACCGAGACTTAGGAAGGGCGACCATTACTGACCCATGAGCTGCAAGGGTTAGCGTTAGCCTAAACTTTGTTCATTATCAACATATTTTTATTGTTTCTGTTCATTTCTAAGTTTATTTAGACATTGTCATTTTGAAATCTCTATAAATGTTTAAAAACAAGAGCAACAGAATAAAATACAATTTCAAACTGGTGGGTTGTTCTTTATTTAGAAGACTCTGAGGGCCCCCCATGTGGTCCTTGAGGGCACCGCGTTGCTGACCCCTGATCTAAAACCACCCTCAGTCCAAATACCTGCTTGCACTGGCCACTCATCAGTGAGTCCTATGGACCGCCACAATAACCCATCTACAGGTGCTGGTCATAAAATTAGAATATCATGAAAAAGTAGATTGATTTCAGTAATTCCATTTAAAAAGTGAAACTTGTATATTATATTCATACATTACATACAAACTCATATATTTCAGATGTTTATTTTGTTTAATTTTGATGATTACAAATGACAACAAATGAAAATCTCAAATTCATCATATCAGAAAATTAGAATATTACTGAAGACCAATAAAAACAAAGGATTTATAGAAATGTTGGCCAACTGAAAAGTATGAACATGAAAAGTATGAGCATGTACAGCACTCAGTATTTAGTTGGGCCTCCTTTGGCCTGTATTACTGCAGCAATGCGGCGTGGCATGGAGTCGATCAGTCTGTGGCACTGCTCAGGTGTTATGATAGCCCAGGTTGCTCTAATAGTGGCTTTTAGCTCTTCTGAATTGTTGGGTCTGGTGTATTGCATCTTCTTCTTCACAATACCCCATAGATTTTCTATGGGGTTAAGGTCAGGAGAGTTTGCTGGCCAATTAAGAACAGGGATACCATGGTCCTTCAACCAGGTACTGGTAGCTTTGGCACTGTGTGCAGGTGCCAAGTCCTGTTGGAAAATGAAATCTGCATCTCCAAAAAGTTGGTCAGCTGCAGGAAGCATGAAGTGCTCTAAAACTTCCTGGTATGTGGCTGCGTTGACCCTGGACCTCAGAAAACACAATGGACCAACACCAGCAGATGACATGGCACCCCAAACCATCACTGACTGTGGAAACTTTACACTGGACTTCAAGCAACGTGGATGAAGTGCCTCTCTTCTTTTCCTCCAGACTCTGGGACCTTGATTTCCAAAGGAAATGCAAAATTTACTTTCATCAGAGAACATGACTTTGGACCACTCACCAGCAGTCCAGTCCTGTTTCTCTTTAGCCCAGGCAAGACGCTTCTGACGCTGTCTGTGGTTCAAGAGTGGCTTGACACAAGGAATGCGACAGCAGAAACCCATGTCTTTCATACGTCTGTGTGTGGTGGTTCTTGAAGCACTCACTCCAGCTGCAGTCCACTCTTTGTGAATCTCCCCCACATGTTTGAATGGGTTTTGTTTCACAATCCTCTCCAGGGTGCGGTTATCTCTCTTGCTTGTACACTTTTTCGACCACATCTTTTCCTTCCCTTCGCCTCTCTATTAATGTGCTTGGACACTGAGCTCTGTGAACAGCCAGCCTCTTTAGCGATGACCTTTTGTGTCTTGCCCTCCTTGTGCAAGGTGTCGATGGTCGTCTTTTGGACAACTGTCAAGTCAGCAGTCTTCCCCATGATTGTGTAGCCTATAGAACTAGACTGAAAGACCATTTAAAGGCTTTTGCAGGTGGTTTGAGTTAATTAGCTGATTAGAGTGTGGCACCAGGGGCCATCAATTTTGAACCTTTTCACAATATTCTAATTTTCTGATATGATGAATTTGAGATTTTCATTTGTTGTCATTTGTAATCATCAAAATTAAACAAAATAAACATCTGAAATATATGAGTTTGTATGTAATGTATGAATATAATATACAAGTTTCACTTTTTAAATGGAATTACTGAAATCAATCTACTTTTTCATGATATTCTAATTTTATGACCAGCACCTGTAGTTCATGCTTCGGACCCGGCCCCCATCCCATACCCGGACCAGACGACCCCCAGTAAAAGCTCCCCTGGGGATGGTCCTAACATGTCAGGCTACCCAGCCACAGTCTTAACCCCCGAGAGATGACAGCAGGCCACCCAGGGGTGTGAGAAAGACCCCGATTCTCCCTACGCCCGCTCCAATGTTGTGTTTTTGCGTGTTGCTCTCAGGTGCAATTAAAACTGGGAGTACCAAATGGGGTGTCCAGAACAGTCCACCCCCCCAATCGACAACCCAGGACCCTCAATGTCTAAATGCATGACATCTCTATTTCTATATGCATGTATTAATATCATGATTTCTTTTTTTTTTTTTTTATCTCATTTTGTTTTTAAGGCAATAATGAAAGAAAAAACATTTGAAAGTGTCCTTTAATGCATATGAATGCAGTCTCAGACTGGAGGATCCTGATGTGGACAATATACTAATAATACGCTATAATAAGCACCTGGAACAGCGTAGAGTCAACGCTGAGCTTATATTCGCTAAATGTTCATCTTACTGGGTTGCGTGGTTTAATCTTCACCAACAGGACCCAGCATGTCCTTGTGAATACCCGACGCCGTGGTGTCAACACAGCATCCCCTCAGGGCTGTGTCCTGTTGACTCTGCTTTTTGTTTTGTACACAGACAGATGCAGACGTCCTACAGAAAATACACCTTAAACTCTTAAGAACGGGCTGTTGTTCTCTCTTATGAGGTTATTTATGGTCTCTTAACCTTTTTGATCATCCAAACCTGTCAAAATGAAGCTTATGACACTTAGAGCCAGCAGAGGATTTATCAGTCCTGGAGATTAAAGTCCTTCAGAGTCAATGACAGTTTATTAAGTCATCTGCTGCTTTTTCCTGTAAAGTCCAGTTTTTGGGGGGGAGTTACTGGCATCACAGTCATTAGGGATCAAAACAGATATGGTGGTGTCCTCAGAAATATTGGTTCAACTGAAAAACAAGTGTCTCCTGAAGGCAGAGTGCATTATTAACCCCAAATAAAGAAAATAAATCATCGTTTCTCTCTTTAAATCTGAGTTAAATAACTTTATAGCAGCTTAAAACCTTTATCAGCAGCAAATGGGTGCTTTGTCCACCACAAAGCTGCAGGTTTGGTGCTCTTATGCTCTATAACTGTTGTTTTTGTGTCTTCCTGGACCCCACATGGCCAAGAAAGCCATTAATAAAGATTTCCCCAATCAGTTTTTCTTGCACAAATTCTTCTGGACATGTCCTGTTTTAAATTTCTGATGCACCACACAGACATCTGGTTTACAGTTTATTACCCTTGGCTTATAGTTAGAGTGGCTCAGGTTATCTATTGCTATCTCTATAGTTATTCTGCATAGGGACCCTTTTTTAATCATTCTGCTTCATTCTATCTCTATTCTCCCACGCTGCAGAATTTGCAAGTTCAATCTCTAACGTTCTGCTCTCTCTGCTTTTTCTAATAGTACCTCGGACCTCGCTTGTGGAGCTGGTTGACAAGTTCCTTTGTATCTATGCTTCTTTTTGTATCTCTGCTTCTGTCTCCTTGAACCCCAGTCGTCCTCAGCAGATGGCCGCTCACACTGAGTCTGGTTCTGCTGGAGGTTTCTTCCTGTTCAAAGGGAGTTTTTCCTCTCCACTGTCGCTACAAGCATGCTTAATGTGAGGGATTTCCTTTGAGTTAATCAGTCGATGCAATCAACTGGTTTTCCTTAGACAGAAAATGAATCAATTTGACTGTATGATCTGGTTGAATTGTAAAGTGCCTTGAGAGGACATGTGTTCTCAATTGGTGCTATAGAAATAAACTGAATTGAATTGGATTACCCTGTATCAGAGACCTAAGTTTCTCTGACCTTCAGTCATCAGGGTTATTTTTGTATTAACCCTGCCCCCATACAGCCATCTGGTCCACCTCTGACCCTGAATCGCCACGGGGGAGGATGCCCCATAAACATGTACCTGTCCAAATGTAAATAGAGTGTATTGTGGAGCAGAGACGTCAGGGGATGCAAAGGACGTAAATTCATTTCTCAAACAGCTAACAAAAACTGGGATGCTGCTTTTCCATAAACTAATTTTAAGTAATAATTGTTTTCCTTCACAATATCTTGAAACATAGTAAACTGGATTAATTAAAGCTGTGACTTCTATTCACAACACAAGAATTATTTGCTTCCAAATATTTTGAAGTTGCAGATTTGTTGGGGTACCACACAGGCTGCATTTGTAAAAATATAACCATCCCGTCAGTTAGCTTTAATTAACATGAGTTTTAAATAGCGAGGCCAGAAGAATAAAACAAAGACGCTTCCGTGGCTGAATCTATAGAGAGAACAGATTAATGCCCCTGAGATGATCTGAACGATGATCATCTCCACTGTCTGCGAAGAGAGAAAAAAAACACCTCATAATATCTGCTTTTTAAAGGTCCAAAGTATTTATGACTTTAATCTGCCATTATTAAAATGTTTTATGCAGTAGATCCAAGAAAAAAGGAAAATGTGTTACTTGTTCCAAACTTCTTTACTATGGAAGTAAATTTATGTCGCTGGGATTTGAATTAAAAATGCCACTGAAATTTTCATGTTGTTTTTTTGTACTTACTGTTTCAGTGTTAAAATATATTCAGAACACTTTTTTGACCTAAAAAAAATGTATTGTCATTATTACACAGCTGAAAATTTCATGTTATTTTCTCTTCAAGCTAAAAATTCACATTACTATTTCAAAGTGATTACATTTTCAATATTTATTTTTCAGTGTTAAAAAAATCTGCATATAAAAAAATTCAACCTTTCAAAATTCAAACTCAATATTTTCAGCCTCCTGAGATTCAACTGGCTCTATTTCACCGTCTTAAATTAGGCGTCTAAATTCAGTGTAAAAAGGGAAGGGTTACTTCAGGTCACAGACATTAGCAATGGATTGTAGCGTCCAACACCCAGCCAATCCCGTTACGTTTTCTTAGTCACGTGATGTGATGCTTGCGGCGCTCCTACGGAAGGAAAACCAGCATGACGGAGCCACTCATGCAAGCTAACGCTAACTCAACTACAGAAAAATGAAAGTAATAAACTACCCGTTGAGTGAAATAGAGCCAGATGAATCTCAGGAGGCTGAAAATATTGAGTTTGAATTTTAAAAGGTTGAATTTTTTTATACGCAGATTTTTTTTAACACTGAAAAATTAAACTGAAAATTACGGAGCCCCTCTGATGACATGGTCAAAAAAAATGTTTAATTGTGGCCACGAAGTAGTATAACGTGCGCACGAAATACTACTTCGTGGCCACGCAATAAGTTTAACGTGCGCACGAAATACTACTTCGTGTGCACGAAATATTACTTCGTGGCCACAATAAAAAAATATTTTTGACCATGTCATCAGAGGGGCTCCGTAGAAATTAAGTATTGAAAATGTAATCACTTTGAAATAGTAATGTGAATTTTTAGCTTGAAGAGAAAATAACAAATGAAATTTCAACTGTGTAGAAATAATGACAATGATTTTTTTAAGGTCAAAAATGTGTTCTGAATATATTTTAACACTGAAACAGTAAATACAAACATACAACATTTAAATTTCAGTGGCATTTTTAATTCAAATCCCAGCGACACAGATTTACTTCCATACTTTACTGTGCCTTGATCTCCTCCTGATTATGATCTACGTCAATTAATTGGATTTTTTATACTTATCTATTTTATTGAAGTATTGAGATGTCAACCCACCATAAGAAGAGGCGTTGAAGAGATCCACATTAAAAAACATGTTGCTGCCATTGGTCAGCTGACGTCTGTGTGCTGCAAGCATGATCTCCCGAATCCTGTTGGCTCCGGCGCACATGATAACGACTGGAAAAAAAAAAAATCACATTTCAGAGTCGGCAACGAACAAACATTCATCGTTCATGAGAAGAAAAAAAAAACTCCAGGAGGAGAAGCTCTCAGGGGGATTATGAACAAACACTGTTTAGGTGAAGAATCATGTGGAATAATTCATGACATCTATGACGGCTGGGATTTTCTAATGTGGACCAGAGCAGCAGCAGAACACCTGGCAGCTGTCAGATAATCTATGCAGCGTTACTGAACAGTAGAGCTGCGTGGCTGGGCATGCATGGGACTGACAGGAGGTTTATCACAGTGGAGACAATCAGCTCCAAAAAGCACACAGAAAACTCAGTCATCCGTGTTCTGCTCTCCTTTCCACCACATCATCTCAGCTTGTGACAGAACGGGTTTGTCTTTCAGCGGAGGAAGATTCCAGCAAAGAGCTAATTAAAAAACCTCAGTGATTATCTTTCAGCTGACAGGTTCACCGTGACGCTACGTCTCACCGGGACGCCCTTCAGTCAGATGGAGGGCGGCGTGCCAAAGGTCAACTGAATCCATATCAGTCTGTCGAGCTTTAGAGGAGCGATGCATCGCTAAATACTCAGCGACAGGCAGACAAACAGACTCTCTGCCATGCATGAACTCAGTGATTTCAAATAAACCAAGCGACCAGAAGCTGCACAAAGCTGGGCAGTAACGGGGTCCCTGTTAATAGGGAAGATTCAGAGTCTCGCTGGAACATTCCTCATAACTCTGTCACTTAAACATACCTCCTGAAATATCCCTTGAGTGAGTGGGACAAACTTCACCTCAGTGCTGCCAGCACTATAGCACCCTTTAATTACACTGGACTCTACACACACTACCAGTCTGTGTGTGCTCTGCAGGCCATTCCACCAAGCTGTGCTTCCAGCCAGCAATATTTCAAAAACTTTGAATTTTCCTTTTGCTGCAGCCCTGATGGCAGCTAGAGATTAATTCAGGAATGGAGCAGCACTTTTCTGACGAGAGGGGGACTCTTTTTAAATTTTTCTCTAGCCTTGGCTTTAAAGGTGAACTTCTCCACCCTAATCTGGACCCTGTTTAATATATAAAACTGACATTATTTTTCTCCTTAAATCTTTCACACAAACATCCAGTTGCTTTTAATTGCAGATCTAGTGTTTTGTTTGTGATATGCTTAGGAACACAACAGGATATGCCCTGAGCCCATTCTAACACACAATGGTGATTACTGCTGATTGTAGAGGAACCGGCCCCATGATTTCCCGCCGTGTTATAATTATTGAAGGACATTTTCAGCAGCTATTTATAATTTACATTAAGAGTTAGCATCCCAGGAGTGTTTTAAGAGAGGCATCATTACTGTCCTTGTAGCTCTATTCTTCATCTCCATATTGTTTTATTACTCAATCGCTTCAGTTAAAACTTTGTTAGTTCAATCTCTAACGTTCTGCTCTCTCTGCTTTTTCTCATAGTAGCTTCATCTGATCTGTTCCTGTTTGGCTGTGACTCCATCCTGGAGAGAAATATCAGCTGTGCTGCTGCCATCAACACCTTTGTCTATAGATGTTCGACCTCAGCCTATTTTTCAGTGTGGTCCTGTTTCTCTGACTGTGACTGGCTGGATGTGCTCTCTTCATCCTCTGACATGGGAGCTGGCTCGGAGCTCGTCTGCCTGGCCGTGTGTTTTCTGAGTGGGGCCGCCTGTGGAGCTGGTTGACAGTTGCCTTTTGTATCTATGCTTCTTTTTCTACGTCTGCTTCTATCTCCTTGAACCAGAGTCGGCCTCAGAAGATGGCCGCACACACTGAGCCTGGTTCTGCTGGAGGTTTCTTCCTGTTAAAAGGGAGTTTTTCCTCTCCACTGTCACTACAAGCATGTTTGGTGTGAAAGATGCTTTCTAGTCAATGAGTTGATGCAATCAACTGGTTTTCTTTAGATAGAAAACTGAACCAATTTGACTGTATCATCTGGTGAACTGGAAAATGCCTTGAGATGACATGTGTTGTGAATTCAGAATCAGAAATACGTTAATAATCCCAGAGGGAAATAACTTTTGTTACACGCTCCAGTTACAGTTTTATATATATATATATATATATATATATATATATATATATATATATATATATATATATATATATATATATATATATATATACACTCACACATCCAACTACACAAGATAATAATAATAAGAATAAAAAAAGATAAAAATATATACACCGCTATAGAAATAAAACTAAACTGAATTGAAAACCTGGCACCATTTAAGGCAAAGGGATATTTGAATGTCAGGAAGCCTTATGCAGCTTTCTAGCACTAAGAATTAATTCTGGTTTTAAATTAGGAAGCTTTGAAAAACCAAAAGTGAATATTTCGTACAGATTCAGGACATAAGCAGGTTTTCCCAAAAACATGTTTTTTGTCCAAAAAAAAATATAGCAAATATCTGCGGATCTGAACTTTTCCTACATTTTGTTTAAGTTTAAATATTTTGTCTTTTTTTTATCCAACCGAGTCAAGTGTGAGTCCAGACATCCGAGCTCTGCAGAGTTGGAGAGATGTCTGCATGTAGATATGCAAAGATTATGAGCACCTTTCTCCATTTTTTGTGTGATTATTTTTGTCAGAAGCTGCATTTCATGCAGTTGTCCTCCATTAGAGCAAAAGCAGGCCGTTTTCAAACATCTATCGCTTCCTATCAGACATTTCTGCTTTGGTCAAATAACCATATGCACATTCATGCGCTGCATTGTCTAACTGTTAAATTATTCTCACAGCTTCAGGTCATTTCCAAAAGAGCAAAAAAGTGGTTGAAAAAACGACATGATTTAAAGTAACTTTCAGATCGTTGAAAAGACGTTAAACGCTGGCTTTGTAACGTCTTTTCAATGTCTATTATTGGACTAAAGTGGGACAAAATCAAACCGACCAAACACAGCCCAGTTTTCAGCAACTATTTCTGGACTAAATAAAGATTATGATGGACCGACCAGATCTAGCCTAAAAACCAACATCTCAATGACGTCTGCTGTTTGTGGGTTTGGATTTTGTTAGCAAAATTTCTAAATGGTTTGCAGAAGTAGACTCTGCTTGACACGTCTTGATTGTGGTTTAGAGGACCCAAAATGCAGAGGCAGAGAGGCTGAGGTGAATTCTTGTAGTTTTAATGAAAACACTAATAACAGAGGCAAAATTCAAAAATTTTCAAATCAACAAAGAGTGAGAGCATATATTGCTTACAGACAAAGGGAGGGCTAACGAGCTGACAAGGAGCAGGTGTGAGAGGAGACAACGAGGGAGCCAAGGGGAAAGGAACACACACACACAAGGGCAACAGAAAAACATGTGAACTAAAATAAATCTAGAAATTACAACAAAAAAGGAATTAAACCAATAAAACTAGGAAACATAGAGCAAAGTAAAGCACAATATAACCAAAACCATGAAACTGCTGAGTTACATCCTTACTGTCATTATCAATTATTTCTTTTTGCCTGAAACGTCCAGTTTCACCCTACAGATCCAGTTATTTTTCTCTCCATCAACAGGGACTGAAACCTGACTGCTACGCTCTACATGCCTCAAGAGGAAAACTGCCCCCCTCTGCCGTCTAACAGCGTCTGGATGGGTTCAATTCAGAATTAATCAGATACTTGTTGAAAAAAAAAAAAGATCCAGGACCTGCAAAGTTTATATTCAAAGTAAAACAGTTTGTTTTTGGTTGGATTCATTAGGTGCACAAGCATCTGAAGGGATGTTTGATATCCCGAAGAGGTGCCATCAATGTGTTGTAGGGCTAACAGAGCCGTCAGGACAGCAAAAAGGCATTTTCCATAGTCTGGCTGATAGCAGAGCCGTCCCAGAGCCAGAAACTCCACACTGACCCTTCCAGCTTTCTCACCCATCACAAACAGCTCAATGTGTTTGTGATAACACTGACAGAAACGCTACGCGATAGAAACCTGAGAACCGCACTTCTGAAATAAACAAACCTGGATGTGCTGGTTTCTAAAAAGAAGCCTAGATGAATTAAATGAAAATGTATTAAGAAAATACAAGAAAATTATGTCAAAAGACGATGTGTTCTCACTTTCTAAGCGACAGCAGCAGCTGGATTACATCTTATTTCATAACGTCAACTTTTGAATGGTGGTGCCAATTAGGAAAGAGCTGTTAGTTGAGCTGTTTCCTCATTAAAGACGGATGCAGCGAGTTTCCCCAGGTACTGGCAGTAGAAGTGTTATCTGCAGAGAGAAACACACATGGAGACACACACTGACAGACACTCAGCCTCGGAGTCGAATGACGTGGATCAGAGATAAGGGAGCTTCTGGTGGAGAACAGAAGAATGAATGTGGGAGTCTGTCTGCGGACTGTTTGTCCGTTAGAGTTTTGACCCATGGAAAATACTATCCTCCTGTTAAGGAAGATTGTTTTTAATTAGTTACTTTAAATACAAGAAGGATAGATAAATGATGCAACGGCATATCAACATGCTAAATTTAGCTTCATTGACGACACTTGAGGCAGAATTTGTTGATAAGCCAAGACTACAGCAGTTACAGAGGATGAAATAAGTATTGAACACACCACTATTTTCATCAGTAAATATTTTCGTTTAAGTTCCATTAACATGACTTTTTTTTTTACCAGATGTTGGTAACAATCCATGCAATCCACACATACAAGGAAATCAAACCATTGATGTCCACAAATTAAGTTATTTGTAATAAAATGAAAGGACAAAAGTAGTGGAGAAAGACAGAGCTAAGATCCAGTGGGACTTCCATATACACACATAGACACATCATTGATTAGTAGCAGAGGAAGGCGGCAGGGATCGATGTGGCCGTTCCAAATGATGGAAACATCAAGGAAAAGACATGACATTGGAGAAATACCAAGGCCTCAGGGAGGAACTACAGAGAGCCTGGAAGGTGAATGCTAGGGGCAGATTTAGGAAATATGGGGCCCTAGGCAAAGACAGGCAGGGGGCCCTCTGAATTGAG